AAGGTGCGGTAGGCATCATTCGGGTTGCGCGCCGATAACAAATACCGAACCTGAGGGAAGCGTGGTGGCACGCGCAGATGCAGACGCACGTCGCGCCAGCCACCTGCGTCCAAACTCACCTCAGGCCTTCTTCACAGTGTCTTGACAACGGACGCAGGTGGGTGGGGAAAGGGAGGGCGAGTGTGTGTGTGCGGTAGGTGCTGCGCGAGTCTACTATCAGTTCAAACTAATTCACGCGCAAGTCACCATCTCTGCAGCACCCTTTTGTGGAGCAAAAATGGACAAAATTGCCATCGTCAGACAGGCCGGTTGATTTCTTCCCCGACTGCGGATCTTGCCAATTTCAAAAACAGACAGTAATCGAGGAAGAGTGTCCTTTGTTGCAAGTGGGTGTTCGTGGTGCACTGAAATTTTCACTTAAACATTTGTTAACTTTTACTGGAGATTATTCATGTCAGTATCAGACCATTGAGGGAAAGGTAGGCGAATGGCGTTGAGCTCCCTATTGGTATCAAGGTGGCTAAAATGCATGGAAACAAAAGAAAAATAGAAAAAAAGTACTTCAACGACATGCTTGCAAGCGAAAAGCTGTTGATTACTAAATAGTTATAAACAAGGACTACTCAATTAACATGAGTAATATTCTCTCTTGTGAGTCAGATTGTCGCTGGTGAATACAGGGTTTGCCGCATGTCCAGTTTGTTCTGAGATGTGTTCACAGAGGTGGAGAGGATAACCTCTTTGGGAAGAGCATTTCACGCTGCAACCACTCTGTTCCTTAGGAAAAGTTTACGTGCATTGATCCTTGTTTTGCCGGGGCGTAGTTTTAAGGGATGACTGCGCAAAGTGGCCTCCTAAACAGCAGATAACAATAAAAAAAGTGCTGCGCATAACTCCAGGGAAAGAAAATATTACTGTGTCCTAACCCCGAACATTAACACTAGCATAAACCTAAACTGCAGCCCCACTATGAACCCTAACTCTACTCTGAAACTCAACCATAGGCTTAACGCTAAATATATCCCTAGCCGTAAACATTACTATTTTACCTTAATGTCAACGTAAATGGTAACACCTCTATGTGGCGCAAAAGAAGGTTTATTGCAGGTAGTTTCTGTTCGCATGTTTTGTTTAGGTGGCCTTAAAATGCACTCCTTACCTGTAGGCCGCAATTCAGTCGTCGCCTCCGATGGCGCTAGGGCTGGCCTCGAGGGTCGAGTGGACCTTCTGTTTTACATACTTCGGTTAGACCAAATCTTCCAGCTATCCTCCGCCCCTCCTTCGTTCTCTAGGTGCACTTGAGGATTCCTGATAGCATGCCTGTGCACATGCGAGAGCTCTGCACTGCATATGAAGCAAGCCCACTTAAAAATTTGACCAGCTAGAAATAAATTATAGCAATCTGATGATAGAAAGGATGCCAGAAACTGGCTTCTCAGTCTTTTGTGTTTCTTTTTTGTTTGCCAATTATTATCAACTGTGGACGCGTATGTGCTCATTAAAATTATCATTGACCAGACGTTAAAGCAACCCTAACTGTAGTAGGACTGTTCATCTGATTATTTTTGCGTATCCCTAAAGGTTTCGTTCTCATTGCCTACCGCCCAGACGGATCTGTCATTCAGGGTCCGGAAGGAGTCGACATAGCCCAGCGAGGAGTACTGCCGGATCGCTTTCAACCCTCTCTAGTTGTCTACTACAAGAATGCTGGGACGGAACGAGTGGGGTTGGAAACAAAAGGTTGGTGACCTGTATTATAACACCCATTTTTAAAAAGAATGTTTGGCCCCCAACATCGGTACCTTTTTCGCTGACGTGGTATCAGCTGTGTGTGAACATTCAGCCAAATAGCCCAAATTACTCATCTTGACTGTGGAAGTGCAAGATTCGAAACAAAGATGTGAAACAAACTGGTTTTAAGGAACGGGATCGAGAAAGCTCCTTATATGCAGGATAGCTTTTAATTTTGAAGTGGGGATAGGCGGGAGACCCTCACACTCAGACAAAAAAGACATGATCTCTAGAACAAAAATTGCATTCGTCTAACCTTTAGACAAATGCCCAAACCCAGTGAGCTTATAAGTGAAAGCAAAAGTTGATCACCGGACAGCAGGCATGGAGAAATATAAAAGCCGTTTTCGTGGCTACTTTTAGCTAACCAGTAGACGGTGTGACGCGTCGAAATTTGCGCTCTTAGAGCCTGGTTGTCCTAAGGAATTTCAGCGCGTTTATCGACAGGAGTTAAGGCTAAGAAGGTTAACCTTAACAGCTACGATCTTCCACGCCCATGGTTCCTTTATGTGAGGAGAGAAGACGGTGGGAAAGCCAGATATTTATGAATAGTGTATTCTGCAGAAGGATAGGAATATAGAGGGGAAGAGTTTTGACTTTCGGATGACTGCAGTCCGGCTGCCAGGACGTCAGTTCGGGAGTGACGAAAGCGTCAGTAATGGCCGCAACGTCAACGCATGCTTTGTTACGGCGTTCAATCACGCGGCTGGTGTCTAGACTAGCGGTCGGGCGTGACCTTGAGATGGGTACGCGGCAACGATTAGGCATATAGGCGCGTCGGTGAAGGACAGTTAGCGCCCAGCTCCAGGAGGCAGTGGGCGCGCAGGCTAAAGGCGCCATGCGTCAGCAGCTGATCTTGGGTTCCAAGTACCTACAAGAGGCCACTACACGTTCTTATATGAGTGTTGCTCGAAACTCCGAACATGTTTTAACTATCGGACTTTACTACTGAAAGCTAGTGTACTGAGCATCCTTGCAGTCTCCCGATAGGACCCTAATCGCAGGACAGATCAAGGCCTTCCGCTTAGCAGACGCATTTATTTATCTTCTGCTTAACTAATTAACTATAATGTTTCCCTGAGACTGACTATTGCCGTATGGTAAGCCTACTGGATTTTTGTTCGCACAACC